GAATTAGCCAGCTCGGTGAGTAGCTCATAGGAGATACGTATTTGATATTTCCTGCAATGAAAAGTGAATAGATGTATACGCTTCTGTATGTACATATGTACTTGATTTTATTTTCTCACACTTACTCTGGCAGCTGAGCATGCATCTGCTTCAACTGGTCAACCAGAAAGTAAAGTTTCCGTTGCAGTAACTCTGGAGTCAGTTGTGTGTAATCCTGAACCTGTGCGCTGGTACTGGCATTGGAACTGCAAGCTGCTAAAGCGCTGGCACTAGTGGAGGGCAGCTCGGTTTCCATCGATGGTTAATTTTAGTAGATTTGCAAGATATTTTGTTCTTCAACGCAAAAACTCCTAATTGTTTACAAATTTTATAGCTTCTTCTTTGATGGTAAAACAAGATGTTCACAATAGTGTGCCACATGTGATTTTTAGTCTGTTCGACAACCTGATAATAGGTGCGTTCGTTTAAAATCTCCAACAGAAACCAACCAACTGCCAAATTCCGGCGAAATGTCATCTGTTCGCTCACAAGAGAGAAATATCCAAAATAGTACGCGAACAGAAAATTTGCAGAAACTTGCAAGTTAGACGAACAGCTGATATAATTTTTGTTTACATTCAAAAGTGTAAAATTTAAAACGTACGAAAACTCATTACAAAGTGCCATCCTGGCACAGTTTATTGATTAAACAAATAACTACTTACTTCTTACAAGTTTAATTAGTCGCATTTTGTAATTTTTAACTTCCAAACCATCAAATTCAATTTTGTGATTTGCGTAAATGCCAACCAGCTGTTTTTGATCAGCTGTTTTCCTTTTGGAAAATTGCTGTTGGCAAAAATTTTTCCAGCAGAATCCAGCAGCTTCCCCTCAAAATGATATGTCACTTTGCTCTCTCAATTTCCCCTACTTTGCAAGTTTTTGCGTACGCGAACGCAAAAACTTGTAAGTTTTGGTTAAACATGAACAATTAACAGCTACGCGAACGAACCTAATAGCAGTGCGATTAAACAAAGACTCAATACTGGGGAATTACAGGGAATTCTTTTAGGAGACAGTGGTTATGCAGTTAGTAATGTGCTTTTAATTCCATTTTTAACACCAAATTCAACTCGGCAAAAAGAGTATAACAAAAGCCAAATTAAAACAAGAAATACTGTGGAAAGATTTTTTGGTGTTTGGAAGAGAAGATTTCCCTGCCTTCAACTTGCAATGGCTTTGAAGTTAGATACAGTTGTGGCTATAATATGTGCATGCGCAGCGCTACACAATATATCAATATTGACTTGGCACCATTGAACTGGGATGACTCTGAAATCTCTAATGATGTTACTGGTGTGTGCTTATAAATAAAAACTGTTTCTTGCTCAAATAACAACAGTTTTATTTACAACTTCTAGAAATTAAAAATTCTTAAGGCGAATGAAATATAATATAGGGTTAATCATATTTATAGGCCAGGGACTTTTTAGCCATTTTTTTCAATTTTAGTAATTTTTCTAAGTAAAGTTCATTCCTTTCAAAACCCATATAAATCCATGTTTCGCAAAAATTACGAAAATTCAAAAAATTTGCATTAATAATTGTCAAATAATCAATGTAAATGGGGTACAAAACTGTATACTCGATACAAAAAGTCTGATTAAAAAGTAGAAAACATTGATGAAAATTTGTGGCCTTTTCCTAATTTTTGCGGAAACCCTTAATCTTTGATTTACATACAATTGCGATGAGCTAATTAAGCTAGCAACGTTTTGTTCAATTTCTTCTATTTTTATTTTGTTTATCTAATGGTTATTATTTTTTCATAAAAGTATAGCTCATTATAAAACAAACACCATATAAATCCACATTTAAAACCTTGTGCAAAAATTATAAAAAATTTGCAAAGTTTCAGTTAAATTTTAAACTTTTTATTCAGATTTTTTAAATTTTTTTGAGTATGCATTAAATTCTAATACAACGGATTGCACGATTGAAGTTGCTAAAAAATCGCGCTGATATTTGGCCATTTTATTTCACATATTTAAAAATTAAAAAAAATCTGAATAAAAAGTTTACAATTTACATGACATTTTGCAGATTTTATATAATTTTTGTACAAAGTTTGAAATGTGGATTTATATGATGTTTGTTTTATAATGAGCTAGGCTTTTATGAAAAAATAATAAACATTAAA